TTTTATTTTTTCTGGATTTTCAAAATGTATTTGTAATTACCACTCGTATTAAAGTCCTTAACTTGGACTAATAGCATGTCAAATAAATAAATAAATATAAAGCATAAAGCGGCCGTAGCGTAGCTGTCCAGTCCAGCATTGAGACCTGTGCCCGTATGTTATACATTTTCACACCAACGATCTCTTCCAAGATCTAGCACTGCACCACTGCACTTTTTCGACTGGGTGTGTAGTATTCCAAAACGACAAGCGTCTGCTCAACAGCGGTAGCTGGGGGAGGGCCGGGGGAGGGGGGGGGGGGGGGTGTTGCTGCAACCCAGAAGAGCCCGTAGCGCGGGTGTGCGTGTGTGCGCACCATGTGACTGCGGCAGCCAGTTGCGGTATTCTTCCCTCCTCCTTTTCCTCCTCTCGCTCTTTATTTTCTCTCTTGCAGGGCTTTGGCGTGAAAGTTTATATATTACCCGCCCACTCCGCTTGAGCAACTCGAGCCTCGAGTCCGTGAGCGTGTTTAAGCCCGCGAGTTTGAAGCGTGCAGCAGGCGGCGAAGGGGCGAAGTTCGTGGTTTTTGGCTTTCGTTTGTGGACGAGATTGGCTGGAGTGGTTGAAAGCGCACTATAATAAGCTCCCCTGTTTGGAAGCGTGCAACGGTGGATACTGGTCCCATGTAAGTTATCTCCGTGGTTGATTATTGGCGGACTTTTAAGTTCGATAGAAGTTGTTACTCGTTACTGTCAAGCGGTGCTGGCGCAAGTAACGGCGTTACCGGTACGTGTTACTAACGCCGCAGCTGCGCATGCGCGCCGCCAGCCTTGTCTGCATAGTTCAAGGTCTTGCGGCGGATTACGGAGCGCTTTCCGGGTGCTTAGCGGGCTGCGGAAACGGTCTACTACTATTCCCCAATAACAGGTAGCGTACTTACGTTACTTATTTCGAGTAGCGTGTAACGTAGTAACGTTACTGTAATATTCCCCCCCCCCAAAAAAAAAACAAAAAAAAACCTCTTTTTGTGTGTGTTTTTATATCTTGTTTAATCTGAAGACGAGACGCAGCCCGCGCTACGACCTGATAAAACCGATGAGGTAGCGTCAAAAGAAAGCGATCATGGTGTTCGTCATGTTTCTGTACGTGCTCTATCATCGCTGAACCAATCATAACCAGAAAAGGCCCAGTGACCTGCTTTTGACGCTGCCTGATAGGTCCATTAGATACAAGCGTCGGCTGCGTCTGGACCTAAACTCAAACGAGGTGTAATGCGTCATTTGTCTGGGTCACCCTTGCTCCGCCGCACTGTCTTGTTTGTAATATTTACGGCACCAAGTCAGTAGTTGCTGGACTCATTCCATATTGGGACCGGACATTTCGTCGAACGCCGTGTCATCGAACGCCGTGTCATCGAACGCCGTGTCATCGAACGCCGTGTCATCGAACGCCGTGTCATCGAACGCCGTGTCATCGAACGCCGTGTCATCGAACGCCGTGTCATCGAACGCCGTGTCATCGAACGCCGTGTCATCGAACGCCGTGTCATCGAACGCCGTGTCATCGAACGCCGTGTCATCGAACGCCGTGTCATCGAACGCCGTGTCATCGAACGCCGTGTCATCGAACGCCGTGTCATCGAACGCCGTGTCATCGAACGCCGTGTCATCGAACGCCGTGTCATCGAACGCCGTGTCATCGAACGCCGTGTCATCGAACGCCGTGTCATCGAACGCCGTTTCATCGAACGCCGTTTCATCGAACGCCGTTTCATCGAACGCCGTTTCATCGAACGCCGTTTCATCGAACGCCGTCTTATCGAACGCCAGGGTGGCGTTCCCGCTTCCTGAAGCTGGTCAGGGGCGCCATTCCCGGGTTCTGGAAGTTTTTGACTTGCATCGCCGCAGAACATCAACTGAGGGAAGACAAGCTGGGGGCGATGCTGAGTTCCCAAGAGCCTCCTCGCCTGAAGAAGGCCATAGAGGCAAGAAATAAAAAGGTCCGCCTTTTTTATCAGAACCGACGGAGCATGGCTGTGGGGGACTTTTCGATAGAAACTGCTCATCATTTGAAACGGTGAATGGCTGTCGCACGAACACATGAACCCCCGAAAGTTTTCCCCCGAAAGTTCGTGCCATTCACCCGAAATGGGTGAATGGCACGAAAATGCACTCGATCCGTGCATAAAATAGCATATTTCACACTTTTTATATAAAAGGCAGTCGATGAAACGGCCGTCAGCGATTCGGTAAAACGGCGTTCGATGAAAGGGCGTTCGATGAAATGTGCGGGAACCATTCCATATGCCTTCAAAATTTTGCCTGTCTTTTCCCCGCGCAAAAAGCCCTTTGTCCCAGTGTCGAAAAACGCTGCTGCTGCAAACAAAAAGCTGTTACCGTCAATTTATGAGTAAAAAGTAACGCGAAAGTAACATACATTTCTTTATTTTGAAAGGAACTAGTAAAGTATCTCGTTACTTTTTTTTTTCGTGCCGCCTACAACACTGCTGTCAACCCGCGGTCGACAGCTAATGCACGTTACGAAAGACGGTCTGCATGCACTGTCTAAGGCATGTTTCTTTCTTCTATGTGACGGTCCCGCCACACTGAAAATTCAAAAACTATGCGCAGACGTCTTCTAAGCATGCGTATTGCGGCGAAGTTATGCTACGCGGCGAGGGAGGTGGGCTCTCCCTCGAAGCGGTTCACGAAGCCCCCCGCTCAGGGTGTCGGTGGCACGGTCCGTGTTTTTCTTTGCCATGTTAATGGGCTCCTTCTGATTGGCTCCCTACACGGCACCCAGTATGCTCCTGGACGCAATATAGGCAGTCACGAAAAGGGCCCAGAGGTTTTGTACTTGGGTCTAAGGACTTGGGAGGTTGGCGCCCGAATACCATGCCATGAGCATCACCCTGCCTCTAGTGACCTTCGCCTTTGGGGTCTTCCGCCCGCTGACTTGCGAACTTGAGACACCCTTTACGGCTGTGGAGGAGTTTGGGTCGCCCGCTCTTTGTGTGTACTCTTGTTTGTCGAGTTCGGTTGTGGTCGGGACACCCGCTGAAGCTGTGGTCGAGATGACGGCTGCAGGGGAGGTCTCTAGACGTTGAGGGTCTTTCGCCCTCAGAGTTTATTCTCAGGTTATATGTTGTGCTGCAAAAAAAGGTTTTCTGCTTTTTTTTTTTTGCCATATTTTGCATCAAAAACGTCAATGAAGTAAGAGAGAGCGTCCAGTTCTCTAAGTCACAGTCTCTGTCAGCGTGTATACAGCTAACACCGTTTTTTTTTTTTTTTTTTTGTATGATGTATGAGCAGTGTGACTCGGGGTTTGGTTATGGTAACGAACTACTAATGCCCCCTTGGGCAAGAAGGGGACGAATGGCGATCGCTCGCTTCTCCATGCGGGAGAGATGGTAACATGTCTCCATGTTACCATCTTGTAAGCTGGCAGAAGTGCCATAATGGCAAATACCTGTTCATTCTTTCGAAATCGGTTCTAAAGAAAACTGAGTAGGCCAATTATCAATCTGCCCATTTTTGCTGTGTTGGGTAAAGCAGATCGAAAAAGTACTTGAAATACAAAGCCAAAAGGTTATGAGCTTCGAATAAAGTACTACACCGGCGCGATGTACAAAGTCAAATAAGATGAATACAATGCACTTTCGAAGCAAAGTACAGGTGCTTTTTAACACAATCTTTCGTAACCCCCTTTAATTCTCATATACACTGTTTTTTTTTTTGTTGTTGAAGTGGTGTGCATTGCTTCAGGGGTTATTTCAGTTATATTAGGAAATGGTCGTAAATATTGGATAAAGTCGAGTGGGCACAGTGCAGCAGTTTCACTCTCGTTGACAAACTCTTTAACACAATCAACTCACGAGGCATTTATTTGTACCGGTCTTATAGCGGAGAAATGCTCAGATGACGCCTCGAAAGGCAATATAGCGTTTTCACACGACGACACGCCATTTCCTTGTTAGAGGTTGGGTGAACTCCTAAATGCGACCTCAGAAGTTGTGTATACTACCGGGAAAGCCAAGGACGCGAGCGCGTGGTAATCGAAAGGGCTTAATTTCACCGAGCACAAGAAGGCCCTGCCTAGACCAACGCACTCGTCCTCGCTCCTTTCCCCAGTGCTTTACACAACATATGCAGCATAGTTAATGACTTCGGATGCCAAAAGAAAAAAAGGCTTCTTTTGTGGAAGCTCGCTTCTGCGGGCTCTCATCAGCTTGGAGATTTTCTACCGATTTAGTAACAAAACACAAATTCGCGTGAATAACGTGACATGCCGTGATTAATTCCTCGTGAACGTCGCAGAATGGAGGCTAAAGTCTGACTCACATGTTGAGATTCCGCTTGTTGTTTTCAGTCGCGATGTCACTCGGGCTACGAAAGAAGAGTGAATGATAGCAGCGATGCTCGACATCGATACTGAAAATCCCTTGCAGAATCGGACCACGTGAATCGGGCATAACAAGTCTGTGATGGCCACCGGTAACAGAGACCAACATATCTCTTTGTATTTGTTGTTTACACGAAGCTTACACCTTACACCTTTTACCTCTCTCAGTTAGTTGAAACGCCCATATGTAGAACAAATGACGCCGTACTTAGACAACACCGAGATAACAAAGGCGTATAGTGCTGATAGAGATGGCGTCATCAGCGAAGGCCAACGCTGGGCACAGATTCGACACGGCGATTGCGTCAACGTTCGGCTCAACCTTGAGTCGAAGCCGAGCGCTTATGCAGTATTCGTTTCTGATCTGTGTCCAGCGTTGGATGAGAACTGTAGGGAGGTTCTTGGTTGTCCGGCCTCCAGCGCGACCTTCCTGCCTTCGACTGTGCTTCGGCACCGCGTGAGCCTGAAGCGTGCGCGTGCAGCCATATAGCACTGTGGAAGGCAACAAGCGCGTGCTGGAAGGCGGGCATCGGAAAGAGACGCCATGCCGTTCACACCGTGAACCGCTGTGTGCATTGCGGTGACCAGTTGCGTCGTTGTCAATCTCGCAGTGCTTTGAGATGGCGCAGTCGAAAGAGCAAGCAACGGAGGCGTTCCTGCTGACGGGCTTCTCAACCATCCTGGACTGGAGGCCCACCCAGTTCTCCAGGCCGCCTCCTCGTCCACTCATCTGTGACCTGTGCGGCGTGGTGTCGCTGAGACCCGTGTTTCCGGGAAGCTGTCCGCACTGGTACTGCACGATGTGCTATCGAAATGTCTTGCGCCATGACCCTCCGTTGTGTCCGTTGGATCAGAAAGAGGTGTCAGAAAGCGACCTTGCAGGTGACGCTTTTTCTGTGGATCTCGTTAAACTCTTGAAGGAGGCCGGCATGCGTTGTCCCAACTCCGCCACTGGCTGCGACTACGTGCTCACCGATGTGCTTCAGGTTGAAAAATGTCAACGCTGCATTAGTCCATATATTCACTGTCCTGGACCGTCTCCGTCGTGTGGATGCAGGTACAAGCCTCCTTTGACCGATCTTGAGTTGCATTACTCCAAATGTCAGTTTCACAGGGTATTCTGCGAGGCCTGTGATGCTCCCGTTGCGAGCGGTAAGATAGTAGAACACATCAAAAACGGTTGCAAGCTTTCAGCGTCAGGAAACGGAAGTGAGGAGGCGGAATACAAAGCAGGTTCGTCCTGAAGGTTCCGAGCGATGAGGCTGGCATTCTGGTTCTTTTGAAATTAGCTTCAGCGCACACCGTGGCCGTTGCTCGTGCATGTATAAGCATACGCTTGTATGAGTCAAGAAGTTTGCATACTGTTTATTTGGATCCCGTTTTTGTTTGTGGAGCTTAAGCCTGATTTATTATGATACGTCTCCTTTGTTTTCTTCTTTTCTATACGCCTTAGTGTGAAATAAACTTGCACAATTGAGGTGACTGGTTGTGGCTGGTTTTTCGTGTTTAGATAATTATATTACCTAACAAAAATAATGCCAATGTAAAAAACACAAAAAACATTGTCGTTATAGTTTTAACTTATGGTTGCGCAAAATGGGGTGTCGGTGGATTGGTAGAAAAATATAGTTGTGACCGCAAGAAATTACACGGCGTGTCCCCCCAAATAATTTGCAGGTTATTTTTAACCTAGAAAGTAAACTATGCACCACCGGACGCTCATTCTTCGCGGAAATATAGCTCTAAAGGCCCGAGCCAGGTGCCAAAGTTTCAGGACGAACGGATATCTCATTTAAAAGTTGTGTAATTTTCTAAAAAAAATTCAGTGGGAAAATGGGGCCCATTTTCGCCTGTTTTCGTTTTCTGGCGTCATACAGCTTCATGCGTTCCGGAGCTCCGTCGGCCGTTATTTTCCCATTGAAATTTTCAAAAAGATCACAGACCTTTTGAATAAGGTAACAGTTTGTGCTAATTTTGGACTCTGGCTCGGATTTCTAGCGTTGTGTTTGGGTTGAAAATGAGCGCTACGGAATGCGTAGTTTATTTTTGCAATAAAACATATTTTGTTTTGGGAAGGGGGTTGACGTAATTTTTTTTTTTCTAAGTCTGTGAACGAACTTGATTTAACATTGGGAAAGTATTTATTTTCGTTTTTGAAGGGGGGTTGCAATGATTTCAAGAATAAAGAAATTCTTATCTCGTCATTTTTACATTGTTTATCGTGTCCCAGAGGATAGAGAAAAGATGTCCATCAAGAAATGTCGCTATTCCGCTGCATAATCGCAAAGCAAACGTCGAGCTTTTTAGCCGAGGGAAATACGGCGAGAAGCTTACGTGACCTCGCTCAGCTCTAAGCTGCAGCATAACGCCCGCTAATGTCAGTAGAGAGAGGGAAAGGAAGCGTCCTGCAAGAGAGCACACGGGAACCTACACGGCACCCCGAATTACGTTACTAGGAGTATGACCAGGTGTGACCCTGAAGACTAAGAGAGTTGAGGAGTGCCAGTAATCATAATGCCAATATTTACCTTTTTTTTTTTCGCGGAATCAAATTTCTGTTCTTCACAAGTGTCAGCTTGGGCAACCACACGCACACTTTAATAGAATGTAATAAAAATATTATGTTTGTTTTAAAGTCGGAAAAACCAAGAAGGGCGAGGGAAGTATTTTAGTTTTCTAGGCTAGGTGGCGCGAGCTACCGCTCGTTATAAATATAGCCATTAGCATCCATCTATCCATTTGGTAGAGGGACACCCGAAACTGGGCGGAGCTGAACGGAGTGACGCAACGACGCGCCGGAAACCATGTGTCGCGAACCGACGTGTGCGGCGATTGGGAGCAGCCATCTTCCCGACAGTTCGCACGCCGGATCGGACAGTTTTGACGCGCATGTGTCTCGCGCTTAAAGGGACCATGAAGGCAGTTTCGAAGTTTTATTCGACGATTGAAATGGATGTCAGGCACGTCTCAGATGCTATTGACCAAGTTCTAGCCCGAACAGAACTTTGGGATCCGCACCAATCAAGCAAACAGGCGCGGTAACAATCGCGCCGGGAACGACGCCTGAGACCCCACCGAGGCGGCGGCAGAAAGGTGAACTAAAGTGCGCCGTCGAAGTGTGACGACAACGGGCACCTCGTCTGGCGATTGGTTCAAGCGATAGACGCGCTCTTGGTTTCGATTTCGGTGGTGTGATGTGATGAAAAAAGTTCATTTGAACGTTGGGTACTCTTTTAAAGTTGTAGTTGGGCATTAATAGGTTTCATACCGTCCATAAAAGCATAATCTGAAGCGATCCCTCCGTTTGTCACTGGTTGAACGCATCCCGCACTGCTACCTCGGGCGCGTAACAAGCATCGAGCAACCATGGACAAAAAAAAAAAGAAAAAGGTACGAGCGCCGGGGGCGGCGGACTTTTGGTTTTGGTTTCGTGCGTCGTCTCGTGTTCGCTTTGCGAACTGGTGTCTCACCAATTATGCCGCGTTTATGTGCTGTAGTAGGTTGCGCGAAAGGTCGGCTAAAGACGTGTGGTCGATCGGGCGACGTTAGTTTGCATAAACTGCCGACCGATGCAGCAATGCGCAGCATTTGGTTGCGCGCCGTCGTCTTGCGTAGAGCTGTGGACAACGGTGTCAGGATTTGTTCGTTGCATTTCCGACCGGAAGACTTTGAGCAGCACGTTCACGTCAGCCGGAGTCTGGGTAAAAACATGAAGTTCCCGCGTCTGAGGAAAGACGCTATACCCTCACTTTCCTTGCACAAGGAGCCCACACCACAGCGGCAACGAAGCACGGTGAGTTCTATATACTGTAAACGATTTAATTTTCGCGAGGACATAAGTTTCGCAAATCGCCTGCGATTCGAGAAAAATAGATCCCGCGAACAATTCCCGTAAAATAGAAACACAGTGCAATATCTTTATTAAAATCCCACCGCGTCGCAAAAATGAGAACCCGCGAATTGCTTCGAAACTGACAGCTTTGACCGAAATCGCGAAATATGGAGCATGCGAAAAATAAGGCGGTCACAGCAGTGGCGTCACTAGGCTCAGTGGCACCCGAAGCCAACCCCGAAGCACACACACACCAATTGCTCTACCCCCGACCGCTGCACCCGGGGCGCAGCGCCCAGCGCCGCCGCCCTCTCCCTCTCTCTCCCCCCCCCCCCCCTTCCCCCCCCCCCCCCCCCCCCCCTTGCGACGCCACTGGGTTACAGTATTGATGCGGCGAATGTCATCAGCACTTGCATCAGCCTCATTTGGTTGGTGGCTGGCTGTATACCAGTCATAGTTTTGTGCTACATGTGAAGTGCACCGTCCCACGCAGTGTCGAAAAATGAATGTGGCACACAACCTTTAGATAATCAAATTTGGCGCGTGCTATGAACAGCAAAAGTTTATAGGACGCGGGAATGAAGTAGACAATTTATTCGCTGCACTACTTTGCAGTCTGGATGTGCTCCATGCCTTTTAAATAGTTGTTGAGGGGTGAGGATTCAGTGACACTCTTGAAGTGCATGCTAGCTGCAAGTTAGAGCAGCAAATTGTTTAGTTTATTTCCATGTCCTGTAAACTTGCTCGCATAATTGATTGTTTTGCTCATTGCTGATTTGATATTGTTTCAGAAGGGCACAACTTATATTTCACCATAATTTAGTCATTCATATTATTTTTGTCTTGTGCTACCGTGACGTGACATTTCTGTTGTCAATTGACTGCCCTCCAGGTCACAAGTAATGGAAGCTGCACGAGCGAAAGCCCACCCATCCACCAAAGCAGTCCAACCATGGTTAGTGAATACATATTCCAGGCATTCATAATTCTGGCCCCCCGAGTTTGACGAATAGAAAATGCAATGCAACCGCCCTGGCCAGTTGCGTCGAGTGGAGTAGCCCAATACTTCACCTCGTAACATCATTGTAACTTCCGTCTTGCATTAGCATGACATGACATTTGTGCTGTAAATTGACTGTCCTACAGGTCACAAGTAATGGAAGCTGCATGGGCCCAACAACTGCCATCGACCAAAGCTGCACAACCATGGTTAGTGATGCACACAGTGAAACCCGTTTAGAACGAACCCACATACAGCGAATTATTAGGTCTGTTCGATTCGGCCAGAAAATTCTGACCTAGTTCTGTCCGAGTTCAGAGGAGTGCAGGAGTCGTGCAGCGGCGGCGCAGAACCAGTGCAGCCGCCGCGCTAGGACTGGCGCTGTGATCAGCTTTCCGAGCGGAAGCGCAGGTTGTCGTCTGCATCTGTTGGCGCTTGTTTCTCCACGCCACGTTGTATGCGACATTTAATTAGTCGCGGTTTGGTGACACCATTTGTGTTTCCTTAGTTTTAAAGTATAATAACGGAATCTTTTCTGTGATTATTCTTTATCCGCGTGTATTAAAAACGTTTTCTGCACGAAATGTGTTTTTGTCTGCATTTCTAACGGCCGTTCAGTTCCTCTCGTTTCCATAAGCGTTCGTGTCCTTCACATTCATTTAGCAATAGTAGATTCATTCCAAGTCTCTCGAGTTTCGCATTTTGTTGATGGGTTCGCGGCATCAGGGTGATTTTGCATTGGGAGTCACTGGCGGTAGGGCGCGATCGACAGCGGTCACCTCGAAGCTGGATGCTTGACGCTAGTGTTTTGGCCAATACAGTTATCGACCGTAACTTTGGCGTCAAGCTGAAGCGTTTATGCTGATTCTCAAGAAAGACCTGCATGGAACTACCAAGCCAATGCCGATTCTCGGCGTCGTTTTTCCCAGGCCCGTTAGTGGGCGTCCAGATATACCAGCGGACAAAGGATGCAGTATTATGCTCAGCTACGGGGCATAGGAGGCCCAATGTGCTAAATCCCAGACCTCTGCAATGTATCGGAGTCGTCAGTATGCATCCAAGAGCAACGGAAGGCGGGGACTATCAAAAGTGCAATACCTTTCCCGTGTCGGTAAGGAAAAATATCAACGCTGTGGATCCCCACATAGCATCAAAAAGAAACAATTTACGTGAGCCATTATTTCAACACTTACCACAGGGATTTGATGGAACAGCGCGGATGAACAGTCACACTCACATGCACACAAAAGGAGACAGACTCGCAGCGCTGACTTACAACTCGGTCCTATATTTCTTCTTCCTCAAATCTTCAACTTCTTCACCTTTGTCATTAATGTTTTTCCATCAAAGCATGAATTACCAACTTGCCCCAGCATCCACATTACCACAGGGAGCCAAACCTGTACGAACAGGTGCCTAAAACGCTTTCAGAATATCATAATCAATCAAATTCCTTGTGATCTCAATTCCGCGTCCACCGCGGGTACGTTATTATCATATATGAGAGGAAATGCAACGTCCGTATCAATGTTATTGTCAAACATCGCAGACATTTGAGCAAGAGCTGCGAAAAGTGGCATTGCGAGCAGAGACGGACGAGGAGTGTCGTCTGCTATCGCCGTCTGCTTCTGCACGGACGCTGAACTGACTCCGGAGCCGGTGCAAGATTTTGAGGAACTGGGTCTGAACTAGTTCAGAACTGGGATGAATAGAACGCGCCAGTGCAGCGGCCGTCCAACTTCTGGTTGAATTGAATGCACCAGTTCCTGCACTGCTGAACTAGTTCAGCCAGTTCAGGCGAATCGAACAGACCTATTGTTGATATCAACTCACGAAGAATTTAAATAAAAATGCATGTAAAAATTACTTTTTATAACGAACAACATACTGGCTATATCGAACTTTTCCCCCTGGAAGGCTTCTAGAAACGTGCAAACAATCGCCTTCCAGCCTGCCCCTTCCCCCCAAACAAGAAGTAGAAGAGAAAGAAAATTCCAAAAGCTCAAGTTGCGAAGAGAAGCGATTCAGAAGGAGAGAAAGCTAAAAAAATACTCTGCATGCACGCACAGACAAAAAAAACAACTTTTCATCCCAAAGTGTTTGCTTACGAAGAGAAGCGATTCAAAAGGGGAGGTAAGCTAAAAGAACACACTTTGCATGCACGCAAAAAAAAAAAAAAAAAAAAAAAAAAAAAAAGATTTTTAGGGGATTGTTACGAGGCATAAGTGAATCAATGAGAAAGAAAGAGAAGCCCTTGCCTTACAGCGAACGCATCGTGGAAGTTCATTGTAAATGTTTTTGCTATATCGAACTGAACGTAGCGTTTCCTGCTGTTAGTTATAAACGGGTTTGTCTGTATTCCAGGCATTCCTGATTCCTACCCCAGAGTTTGATGAATAGAAATGCCATGCAACCACCCTAGCCAGTTGCGTCGGGTGGAGAAGCCCAGTACTTCACCTCGTAACATTGTTGTAACTTTCATCTTGCGTTGGCATGACATGACATTTGTGCTGTAAATTGACTGCCCTCCAGGACACAAGCAATGGAAGCTGCACGAGCCAGAGCAAAGCCATCCACCAAACCAGCACAACCATGGTTAGCAATACATATTCCAAGCATTCATAACTCCAGCCCCCGAGTTTGACGAACAGAAAATGCAATGTATCCCCCCTGGCCAGTGGCGTTGGATGAAGCCCAGGACTTCACCTCGTAACATTATTGTAACTTTCGTCTTGCGTTATCATGACATGACATTTGTGCTGTAATTTGACTGCCCTCCAGGACACAAGCAATGGAAGCTGCACGAGCGAAAGCCCACCCATCAACCAAAGCAGCACAGCTATGGTAAGTGATACATGTTCCAGGCATTTAGGATTCCGACCCCAGAGTGACGAACAGAAAACGTAATGCATCCACCCCGACCAGTTGTGTCCGGTGGAGCCAAGAACTTCACCTTGAAACAATATTGCAACTTTCGTCTTGTGTTACCATGACATGACATTTGTGCTGTAAATTGACTGCCCTCCAGGACACAAGCAATGGTAGCTGCACCAGCCAAAGCACAGCCATCCACCAAAGCAGCACAACCATGGTTAGTGATACATATCCCAGGGATTTAGGATTCCGGCCCCAGAGTTTGACGAACAGAAAATGCAATGCATCCACCCTGACCAGTCGCGTCGGGTAGAGCCCAGGACTTCATCTCAAAACATAATTGTAACTTTCACCTTGCGTTAGCGTGACATGACATTTGTGTTGCAATTACTTCTTTCTTGGCAGTTTGCTATGCACATATATAAACATATGGTATGTCCGTACACTACACTAAGGCAGTGCTGGTTGTGGAGTTCTTGCATTGTGCCCCCTACATGCCATCCCAATTGCAGTGTGTCAAAGAAGAGTACTGAGCAGTAATGGTATACATGGTTTTTCCAACAGCGAACATCCATGGTCACCAATAGCCACCATTTATTTCCTTATTGAACATTTTCAGAAATCGCTTAGAACTTTAAAATCAAACAATGGTAAAAAATTCAAATCTCCTGGAAATTAGGTAGTCATGGCCTGGTCACTGAGGTCATCTGCAATGCACATAGCGAATTAAAAAAAAAAAAAAATAAAAATGTTAGAATGGAACAAGGGAAAGAAGCTCTATGTGCCTTGTCTGGTTTTCAAGGAATTTATTTTGCTTTTGGTGATAGAAAGAAATTCATGGAACACTGCGCAAAGTCCAGTGAAAGGAAAAGGTTTTGTGAATCGAAACGTGAAGTCAGTGGTGTTTCAGATTTACAACCTACAAAATGGCGAAGAAAGGCAATAGTTTGGCAAATCATCTAATTACTGCTGACTTCTTTTATAGATGCCACGAAAGGTGACAAGGACTCTGGCCATACAAGTTCGAACCAAGTGTCGCTCAGTTTCTACACAGACGCGTCCTCAAACTCGGTCGGCATGTACGTGCTCTTTTCATTGTGAATTGACAGTGTTTTATATGCATTCCAGCAATAAAGAGCTGAAATGCCCAACATCTTTTTCAGACGTCCAAGTGAACACGGCTATACGACAGGACCGTGCGGTGCAGACAGACATATCTGCCACAAGCGATGCGTGGGATCTTTTGGACAGGCTACATGGAACCTCATCCCCCATCTCCGAACAAGTGCCACTGCCATCAGAGTTTCTGAGCTCCATACATGTTGAATGTGAAGGTGGGAATGATGATGCTAACGAACCTGAAAATTATAGGCCAATATCAGTTCTTAATGGTATAAACACAAACGGTATAAACGCAATATTAGACCAATCAGAACAGGGATTCGGCAGAGATCGGTGCTGGGTCCTGTCCTTTTTCATTATATGTCAATGATCTCTCGCATTTACGCACATGATACAGCAATTTACTACACAAATAATTCGTTGGATAACATTAATAGTATAATCAATGAAGAACTAATTATTGTTTAGGACTAGTGCAGCTATAATAAGTTGATGCTGAATAAAAAAAAAAAGAAATATGTTATATTCCACCAAAGGAACGAATGAACTATGCTAAATGCAAAATTTATATTGCCACCTCTCTTATAGAACAAGTATATACATTCAAATATCTAAGAGTAATATTCGACTTACACTTACATTGGCAACATCACATAGCCTATATTTGTCAAAAGCTGTCATATGCTTGCTACATTCTGCTGAAGGCTCGACAGTGCTTTGACTCTTCAACCTTAAAAATGATTTACTTCTCGATATTCCACTCCCATTTAACATACTGTACAGAAACATGGGGTACAACCTATAGCATGTATCTCACGCCCATTATTGGTTTACAAAAAAGGCAGTTTGGATTATAACTGACTCGCACTATACACAGGCATCAAGCATTTTATTTATCACCTCAGCAGTCTTCCACTTCATAAACTAGTAAAGTATAAAATTGCCACGCTGTTTCACCAAAATGTTGACCACAAACCACCCATTTCCTATAACTATAGTTCTTAAAGCTTTCCATCAAACTAGGGCAAATTTGTCTGGACACACTAACCTTCCACAAAGCCGCAACGTTTAGGGGGAAAGGCTAATTCAATTCTGTGGGACAGAAATCTGGAAGGCCCTATTGATCGACCTTCGAAATTCGCATACTTTTAACAATGCACTGAGGCACGATCTCCTCTTGACTACCTAGATCATCTTTCATCCTCATCATCATTTCTTTGGTATTGGTAACCGAGATTAGCTTCTAATGTAGTAACAAGATTGGGAGTACCTTTGTTGCTTTCTGATGACATATGCCTGTCGCTCTGTGCTCTTGTGATACTTTGTTAATGAGCCTCAACTAGCCTATCGGCTATGGGTTCATATGCTTTTCCCAATATTTTGTATACCTTTTTCGGTCAATAAAATTGAATTGAATTGAACCTTCCAAAGGTCCAGCACCACCTGCCAGCTCGGAGCCTGCAGGCATGTGTGAAAACGACGACACGTTTGGCGACTGTGGTGACTGCCCAGCTTCCCCAACCAGCCCACCTAGTTCGGAGCCACCGAGCATGTGTCAAAATGACGACCCCACCTATGATCCGATCTACGACTCAACCCATGAACCGTCGTATGACAAAATTTTTCAGATGTGAGTATACACCAACTCATGTTTACAAACAAACCGGAGGGCCCCTAGTGGACGCCACAGAGCCGCGCACGCACGATGGGTGTGGGCGAAAAAGCTCGCCGTCGCCCAAAACCAAACCATTGTAATGCGATGTTGTCGACGTCAGTGTGAGTCCCCCTGCCCTTTTTTGCATTCAAATCGTTGATTCTATGTCTTCCTGGAAATGTGACTACGGTACTTGAGCAACATCAGCGAAATTAATGAGGCTTGTTACATTGCAAAACTTCGCGTGAATAACATGGATGCCGTAGAATGTACGCTAAAGCCTGTTTCGCATGGGGAGACTTCACTTGCAATTTTCAGTCGCAACGTCGCTCGGGCTGCAAAAGCATGAACCAAAGCCGAGATGGTCGACGTCGATACTGATAATCGCAAGCAGAATCGGACGAAGTGAATCAGGCCTAACAAGTTGGTGATGGCCACTGGCAACAATGATCAACATCTCCTTGTATCTACTGTTTACATCAAGCCTGCCTACCAACCTTCAAACCGAAGTCTTTTGAGGCCTGCACTTGCTTTTTATCGCAAGCACCGAGCCAACATTTGGTCTACAGACCGGTGTTATCTAAAAGAGCAGACGACAAGCAGAAGTGTTTAAAAGAGCAGGCGACAGTTCAAACGATCAGGCGGCCGTTTGAACTTGAAGACGCACTGAATGTAGTCCACAGGTGGTCCGTACAACTTGACCATTTTTATTTATTTATTTATTTATTTATTTAAATACCTTAAGAACCCTGAGTCAGGGTATTACATAAGGGAGTGAGTTAAAAAAAATAGCAAGGTTAACATTTGGCGGAACAAATCGATGTCTTGAGCAAAGACGATGGCTTCGGGCAGGCCCGTTCCAGTCCACAGATTTCGCCGGGAAAAAAGATTTGAGGAATGCTGTATTTCGAGTGAAAGAAAGGCCCACTTTTGCATGCTGGTCAATGCTAGGTGATATGCGATGAGGTGATACGCGATTTCCGGCATTCATGTTGGAACAAAACAAACAAATCTGATGACCACAAGTATCCATGAATTCAACGTAAGGCGCTTCCCGCCCAAGCAATCATGGTCCGACGGCGTCTGCTTTTCTTTTTTCACGCCACATATCCACGTTTTCCGATGAATTGAGCACATGAAAACTGACCTTCACACCTTTCTTGACTCTTTTGGTACAGCCCCAGTCGCGGCGTTTTGATGAGAAAGCAGGTTTTTGTCTGGTCCCTTACAAAACAATGCAGGAATACACGTCTCGCACGGGGACTTCCGCCCACAGCCCCAGACCCGAAGTGCGCCCAATGCGCCACCACCATGCCGTGACGTAACATAAATGAGTTTGTGTATACAGGCCTCAGCGATAGGTGAGCGGCGTTTTCCAACTTCCTGTTACTTGGAAATTTTGTTTCACCGTTGACAAACGACAACAATGAACTGCAAGCCTGTGCAAGCATGGTTCTGAAACCTCCAGATTGCAGTTTTCAGAACTTTGCTTAGACAGGCTTGCAGATCGTCGTCATTTGTCAACAGCAAAACAGAACTTTTTAAGAAACTGGAAGTTGCCAAATGGCACTCACCTGCTTGTTAATTTGCAAAGGATTTGTAGTGACTAACGAAATAGAAATGACTAAATAGCTTATTTGTTTGCCCCACCTTTGGGCCAGCATGCCGCACTTAGTGGTTTTTGACTTGTCTGTCATCAGAACACATGCACCACGGTATGTTAAGAAAGCATGTTTAAACTGAAAACTGGGCAACCTAAAGACAGCCTGTTGTACCTAACCTTTTCAGGGTTGGGGTCGTTCTCCTAAATTTGTTTTGCTTACTTTTGCAGGGATGACGAAGAAACCGAACAAGGCCATCCTCGGGGTGAAAACAAGTACATTGTATATGAAAGTTGCCTCCTAGAGTGCTTTAGGCTCTGCATGACATGCTATGCACCGTCCAAGCCATCCCTCCATCTGAGTGGAAGCTGCCTCACTGTGACAACCCTCTGCCCTAAGAACCACTCGCACACCTGGTCCAGCCAGCCATACGTGGGACGGAAACCGGCTGGAAATATCGATATCGCATCTGTCCTGCTGTTTTCCGGCTCTAGCCCTGCACCAGCTCTCAGAATGATGCGCCTCATGAATATTAGGGTCATCTCAGAACGAAGATTCCACGATTATCAACAAGCTTACCTCCTCCCTGCTGTGCAAACGGTTCGTAGATCCCTCATCTGATTCAAGCATAGTGTAACTTACTCTGCAGCAACGCTTTCTGCAGTGTGCCGGCATAATGCTATGGCAGCATACCCTACTATGAGTGATAGGACATGTTCTCTCATGAAAGACACATTAGGCACTTCCTTTTGGCGACCCTTGTCCCAGATGCAGAGATCAGTAGCGTGTATCACATTTATGCTTTTTATCATACAAAACTGCTGATGCACTTTTGTGTAGTCTCATTATCATACAGCTTCCTTTAACTGCACTGTTACAGCTGCCACACCCTTTCTTTAATATTTCCAGGTTTGGGATAGGCAACGAGACGAGGATTTGACAGCCCTTGCGGGAGAGCCCGTGGATCTGTCAGGAGATGGACGATGTGATTCTCCGGGACACAGTGCGAAGTACATGACATACAGTTTCTACTCGCATCGATTGGGCAAGATTGTCCACACCGAACTGGTTCAAGTCAAGGAAGTAAGAACCCTCAGAATAATAGGAAAAACAATTGGCTCGAAAAACACAGGAACAAGACAAAGATACAAAGTGTGCAATATTTTTGACCCCTTCCATAAAGAACTTCCTTCTTTTTAGTGTCCCGAAGTAAGTGCAAGCAGCAACATGGAAAAAGAAGGCTGCGCACGAGGAATTTCTTTCTTGAAATCGAGGAACGTCCTGATTCGCTCGTTCACGACTGACAGGCACTCGAGCATAAAGGCCTACATGAGAATACACCAGCCCGCAATCCTGCATCTGTTTGACGTGTGGCACGCTGTGAAAGGTGAATGCGAACATTGTCTTTCAATATAACAAAGACCAACCTACAGCTCTGTCTTTTGCGTGTTCTATTTCCTACCCTAGAACCATCTGAGATATTACTGTTGTGCTTATTATAAATTGTTTAAAAGCAATCTCCATTACCAACTGTTCTATTCGGTCTCTCCAAGTGAGCAGAGGAAAGATGAAATACCGGCACACCTCATAAAAAAAACACTTTACAGAGAAGCGAATAAAACTGGCCATTCCACAGCCTCTGACGACAATTATCCTGCGACTAGCTGGAGTGTGAGGCTAAATCTTCTTTATTCCCCTCATGGCATGAGACTATTGCTGTAGCCATTCTCTCTGGGAATTCTCTCTGGGTAGAGCTTGCTTGCACTGCATGCAAAGTAGGGCATTCGGAAGTGGGGTGTTAACATCAAGCAAACATTTTTGTCCTGGAACTTATATTACTGCAGGGATCAGGAAGAAGTTGGCTGCAGGCAGCAAATGTGCAGGTTGCAAGGACCTAGCACCCTGGGTGAGCCCCGTGTGCAACCACTTGTGGTGGTGCGCAACTGCTAGCGGTGGCAATGGTGAATTGCTTGCCGCAGCATGGTCGAGTGTCACAAACCATGTCTGCAATATCCACACGGGCCATGGTCCGCTCTACCCACGGTGCCTACACAAGGACGTTGGAGACAAACAGTGGATTGTGCCTGGTTTGTACCATATTATTATGCTAGATTTACATCGTAAGAGCTAAAAAATATTAGTTATATACAAGATGCCGACTAGTGTGGAATCAAACTTGGTTATTTTACATGGGGAACACTGAAAATAAACTTCACAGATACGCAAGGTGTCTATTGCTTGGACTGTCGCTGTTGTGATGAAACGCAGCCTGATAAGACCATATGATTACTGTTGACTGAAGCATGCAGTAGCACTCGTGCCTCGCTGCTGACTTAAAGTTTCTCTTTGCCGTAGTCGAGCTACAATGCTTTCACTTTTAGCTCGGAAAAGCGGCTGATATGGGGAGCGTCTGTGTTGGCTCCATGGACTTGGAAAAAGTTACTTTTGCACACATCTACATTGTTTGGTTACGATTATAGGCCGAACACTAATTTTAAAGGAAAGCGTCCAAAGAAAGACGAGCTAACAGATATTTGTAAAATTAGCTCTGCACAGCCATGGACGTCTATGTGAATCTAATCGATAGCCCCCCAAAAACCAATTAAAACTGTTACGTTTTTTTACTGTGGTTTGCTAAAAAATGTTTCAATGAACTCTAATCTACACTGTATTACTGAATGCTCCAATTTCCCCAGGTTCACCCGCCCACACGAAACTGAAGGCCATCGCAAATGCACCTTTGTTTGCAAAAGATGTGAAGCAGCTGTCTCCTAATGCACAAACATATGGATTGGAATCATTCCATAACGTGCTGAATGGATTTGCACCCAAATCGACAGCATTCTCGTATGAAGGCATGGCTGCACGGTAAGGAAGCTAGGTGTAAGGAGGGGACTGTAACAAGCCAAAACAACAGCACTCGCAGTTGAAGTTTCTTTGAGACCAGAAAAAACTTTTAGACATAGTCACAAAAAGATTTTTTTATACCCTAGTTACATGGGCGATTTGAACTGTCGTGGAGTTCAATCACAGTTATCGGCCTAAACTATGATTGAACTAAACTGAACTGAGATGGTGCAACACGGCCCTCTAGAACCCAGCTGAAGCTAAAACGAAACTAGTCCTTGTGTTACGTGATCAGTCTAATTGTTGAAGTAATTTACTCGGAGACACACCTTTTATTTATTATAAATATATCATACATTATGTTCAATACATTGTTGCTTTTTAGCGGAGTTTACACGAGTACCAAAACAGATTCAGGGCTAGGTTTCACATATTTTACGCTAGGTGGTGTAAGCTATCGCCCACTACGATGGGTGCACCCATTACTATTTGTCCACTTATACAGCTGGTCCCTCCTCCATCTGCGCTCGTTTGGTGGCTTTCCGGCTTGTCGGGACTGTTTTAGCGGCAGCTCTGACGCCTAAACCTATTCCCTCCCGGATATTTTGCTGCTAAGAGTCTTTCTAGACGCATTCTCCTGTATTCCGAAACGGTAAGTGCCTCGCAAACAATGGTCGGCGGCAGCGGTCCTACGGACAAGCACCATTTTAACTTTGTTGGGGAAGTCCGTTCAGTCAAACTGAAATAGGGGAGCCGAGTTGAACTCAACTGTCATTAGCAGCTCAATGACAGTTGGCGCCGCCGTGTAACTCCGGCCGATCGCGATTGGGTCGACTGTCGTTGACTCAAAGGCTGTTGAGAGCACCCGTGTAACTAGGGTATTGCACACTTTATTTAACACAAGGTGAAGACATGAGCAGCAATTAAACAGCCTCAATTATGTTCCAGAACAATGATCGCCATACTCCACTTTAACGAAAACAGTAGCCGCCTGCAAGCTGTCACGAACGAAGGGCAAGAGCAATGGCACATCAAATCGCCAAAAGCCCAAAAAGGTGCAACCACTGTGTACCCCCGGATGACCCCCGTGACTTTTGGTAAGTGTAGCTCATTACAATATAGAATTTACACTGCATATAGAATTTTAACTGTATGAAAAGGTCACCATAACAATTATGGATGCACTATACTTCGCTCACCTTTAAGCTGAGACTGCAGTGGGAGCTACGTGCCCGCCGAACCAATCAACCGCCTTCCTCCTTTTCATCACCCGAGCCGGCTTTCTGAGCGCAGGTGTGGGCGGGCCATAATGACGTGGCGAAAGAGGCGTATGACTGGTCCAACGAGGACGTAGCTTTCACCGCAGTCCCACCAGAAGGGATGAATGGAGTATAGCCTACTTTATATGTTTCTGATGGCAAAAAAGCATGAAATGTTTCTAAAAAAATACAGCATTATCAAAATCAAGTGCTAATCACTGGCTGTGCGACAAAGTGCAATATTCAGAACGACTGAAAATTTGTGTCGTGACTTTAGAACACTTATGGTCAAATGACAGGAGCACTTTCTAAAGAAGCACTGGCCTACACTACCTTGTCTTGAATTTCAGAGTATGTGGACCGGCTACATGAGGAAGTCCTGGAACGGTGCAAGACATATCCTACTTTCAAAGAGGCACTGACCGAAAAGTCTCCAAAAGTTCCTCCGGCCTTTGTGAGCCCAGTACCAAGGCCATCGAAGGAAGAACTGGTATCTGCGCACAGAAGAAGGTTCGCCAAGCCGTCCCTTGAGGGAGACGGCTAGACAAGGATGAACATGTCTCTGAGTGTTTATGTAGAGTGCGGTTTGGACAAAAGTGGAGCTTTCTGCCAAGCCATGAAAATCGTCTACATGGAGCAATGAGCACTCTTTTCCAATGTTCGTTCAGCCAATAAATTTATTCATTCATACAAAGCTTATTTACGAATGTTCTGGTACTTACAAGTTAGTAGCGGGGATACTTGAAACCGGTAGTGGTTTCAGAAGGGAATTCCTCTCTTATTCTGCAGACTACACATGCCGGCAGAATCATCCGGTTCCCTTTTCCAAGTCGTCTCCATAACCAGCGGACGAAGACTCGGTATGCAGTGTAGCGATAGCGTCTGCAGTAAAAGAAGCCGTTGTAGTGAAGACACACTTGAAATCAACAGAAAAAGGTTTCAGTTATTTTAGTCGCATTATACAGACAGAAAATCAAAGTGAACGTTCAAATTGCAGTGTCCCTAGATTTTTGTTTTTAATTGAGCACTATGACTGATTCTTAGAATACTTGGTCCCCAACAACTGAAACTTTCAGCTGTCAGCAGCACTGTGACCCCTGCTTGCAGACCTCTCACAGAGAGCACAATATGCAAGTGTTGCACATGCCAATCTTTAACCGAGTGAGATTTGCTTGCTATGAAGTGCACACATTGCAGGCCATGAAGCCTACTCTGAATGGTGTGGGAATTGAATCTGTTGCATGTCTCCACATTGACTTGGCATAGAAAAATTAGTTTTACACCGACCAAACATTGTCACGGATGGAAAAAAGGCTCGGGAAATGTGAACTGAAAATAAAGGTTTAATTGGCGAACTTGTGCAAGTAAACAAAATAGAGAATGAGCGTCGGGATAGCAGAATAGCAGGTGGCGATTCGGCGGCGTAAGAGCAGGTGAGAGCGTTCGGGGTGAGAATGAACGGGCACTTTCGAGAACAAAAATGCAGGACAAAATGTTAAGCTACATCCCGCGTAAGAATAAACGATAATCCTTGAAGTCCGTGGCTTTCCTAAGTTTGACTAGATGGTACAATATGGGAAGACAGCCATGGCACCTGTTTTACCTGTGAATATCGTCGTGCATAGGATACCCCAGCCCCCTTAGCTCGAAGTAGAGAAGACGGAGAACAGGGATGTTGAGGCACAGCATGCTGAACTCCGGGTGCTCCGTGATGCACCCAGCTGGCTGAACCCGCGTCAGCGCCGTGCCCATCTCACGACAGCAGATGCACTCTCCCTCTGTGCCATTCTCGAGAATACCGCAGTTGTTGCAGCTGCACCTAAAGGTAACAGCAAGACTGTTGAGATCGCAATGGTCATCAACCTCATGTGAGACACATCACAAAAAGTGAGCTACAGTCTTTTGAAATAAAATTGAAACTAATACAAAAAAAAGCGAGCAGTGGTGTTTTAAAAAAGCTATGCAAATAATACCAAAAGAAGCATGCAGTGGTGTTTGAAAAGAATTTAATGCACCGTGGAAGGAACTTTGGAAATCGGATACTCTTTCGGCGTATAGACATTTCACAAATAATGCAACTTGTGTCTTTTTTGCAATCGAAAAAGGGCAGGCTCCATCCAAAACGTAGAAAGGGTAAAAGCACAGGCGAGCTGGTGAAGAACTTCCATCGAAAACCGAAGACACGGCAAAATAAAAAATAAAAAATAAAAAAAAACGGAGAAGAAAACAAGTCTCAACACATGTTGTTTTGTCCTTTTTTTTTTTTTTTTTTTTTTTTCGTGTCTCCGGTTTACGATGGAAATCCAAAACATAGCTTAAATTAACGCGTCTACCGCTGTTCGCAATTTTCTCGGCTTATCATGTGATTTGGTGACGGATGGAAATAGTATAGATTCAATAACAATAATATCTTTATTCCACCCATTGCGGTTGCGGATGGCAGAGTTGCGGTACCACAGAAAGGCTATTAGCCTGTACCTGAGGCCTGTGGTGCCGCAACAACGCTGCCTACACCATATAGTTTTACTCTTAATTTTAGGTGTGGGTATTTACAGATTCACCCGGCCAGGCCTTCCTGCTGTAATAACAATTCTCCTCAGCAAAATAAATGCAAGGAAGGGAAATCAAATTTATCTTTTCGCAGCTACCAATAAGTAGAAATAACCACTTGCTTTGCAGAGTGACGGCACGCACAAGCCATGTGGAGTATCAACATTGCAAGACGGAAGTAGGAGTGGCTGGCACATGCACTTGGTTTGATTAGCCTGATAATCGTGACAGCGTAAAGAATGCCAATTATGAAGCAGCGGCAGCGCGACAAAATAGAAGCGGTACTCGTGCGCTCCGATCGACTACGACTATAATGATCATGTGCCTTAAAAACGAATACAATACGCTCTTCAAAGGGGACACCCGGGAAATTAAGCAAGCGATACATCAACCATGAAATATGTGGCACGTTATTACAGCCTTACCATTCCGTGTTCCCGTAGCGGCATTGCGGCGGCGTCGGCGAGTGGGGCGGGGAGTCGCTTTGAGGCGGCGACCGAGGAGTCGGTGGTAGGTCTGGGGCGCCCTCGTAAAGCGCCAATCCAGAGCTCTGCGTCCTTAGCAGCATCTCCCGTTCAGTCGACGTGAGGTCGCTGAACGGGAGCTCAAACTCGTTTGCGAGCGCGTTTGCGAGCGCGGCGTTGTCGTCCATTTCTTCCAGGTTTTCTTCACAGACCGCCGTGCACTAGAGCGAACCACGGGAACCACACCGAGTGTGCACTAAATCCTACCGATGCCGACAGTGCTCCTTGACGTCACTTCTCTTTCCAGAAGCGAAAAAGGGAAGAAATCTGAATGTTTGTTTCGGTTTCGCAAATTTACTTGCAGGTACAGAAATAAGAGTCACAAAGTTCTAGAAAAAAATGTGTGGCATGCCAGGACCCCAATGCTTCCAAAAACACCTTATTTAAAAAAAAAATTAAATTGCCTTCATGGTTTAAAGGAGGACCAGCAGAAATATTCTTCCGCCTGGCGGAAAGTCCTCCTCGCCCTCTTTCTTCTTGTATTGTAGCACGGCGAGGCGAAGGGAAAAATCCTTTTTTGCGCCGGCTTCTGAGAGGATAAGCCGAGGAAATCCCCTTTCTGAGCGACGGACGATGGGTGCGGCAGCAGCGACTTCGTGACTTACGGGTATCTTCAGTTCCTATCATGTAATCTGCTTTATTTTTTGGCTCTCGCCAAGCCTAGCACCTCGGTTGTAGGTTTCACGGAGCTGCAAGGCTGCTCCCTCGCAGTCACCGAATTTCAGCTGTCGAACGTCTTTAGTTTAGCCCGTGGCAAAATAAACGCATACTTGGGAGCTGCGATGCATCCCCGCACCCATTGAAGGAACGTTTCATAGATATTTTCGGTTGATCAAGGAGCTCAGAACACATGGGCGAGGTGTGGTGACTTGAATGTGTAAGGATGACTTACATCTTCACAAAACATTCCACCTTCAAAAAAACGGCTTATCACGCTCAAACCTGCCTCAGATTGGGATCGAAGGAAAAGAAAACGATATACCGGGGCGCGGGCATCTTGTAGAAGGTCTCTGTTTTCTAACAGCGAGCACAAATTATTGTGTGCGTATCTCACACTACATGATGGCCAAAGAATGTAGATGACATTTATTACGCATCCCAACAACCACATGAGGTGAGAAGGCAGCAATGGTGTGTGTCGATACTGAGAAGTTTTAGTGGATCGTCTTTAGCTCTTGGATAACCGTACCCTACAACAATATATAATCTATAACCTTTATGAGAGCATTCTTTATTGAGTGCGGCTATCGAAGCGTGTCGTGTTATAATTCAACGTTGCTCAAATCGGTGCTATAGCACATGCTGCCCCTTTGAAGTAGTTTTGAAGCATTAAAAAAAATGTAGCCGATCTTTTTTTGACATGAAACGCGTTTGTAATTTGTCATTGCGAAGACATATTAGGTATACTGCCACACAGTTAGCACGGACAAACTATCGCCGGTCTTTCTAATTTTGTTTTCTTAAAAGTGAATGATGTTTAGAAAACTGATATGGAACTATCCAGCCTAAGTGGCAGAGCTCAGTGCTAGAAAATACCTGTTGCTGGCAGAAATAGTAAAAAACGCCGATGTCGCGTTCGGGCTAACAGTGCCACGTAATGCACGCATACCGCTACAAGATCATCACAAGCATAATATGGCAATGGATTTATTGCACAATTTGTTTTAATAGATGAAAGGTTTCAAGGAATCGTCGCAGCGCCTTGATTATCACAGCTGACAACGAGTCACACTTATTAACGGCTTTGGCTTGCTTTATCAAGTCGTCGAAAGCATCAGCTCCGCGGTTTCAGAAAAAGTGTGGTTCAGGCTTGGTCGGAGATTGCTACGGTTACACTCGTATGCTTTTTCAGTCCCCCCCCCCCCCCCCCCCCCCCCCCCCCCCCCCATCTCGCATACGCTTCTTGCTCAAGTAAACAGGAGAATCTGACTTGTCGCTCATCTTGGCCTTTAGCGGGACTGCTAACAAATTCTGAAACAGACAAAGCAAACGTGATGTAATTAACTCACAATTATAAGGTGTGCGCAATATTTACAGAGTTCGAGGTTCCCTAGAGCCATCTTTTGTATTCAAGTCCGCCTCCCCTCACCACTGCTTCCTTTCCTCCAAATAAACAACGTAGATTATTTTATGAACCACCCGTAATAGAGTGTACTCGCAAAATGTTTATTTGGCGTAAGAAAGGCCTAGTTTAAATGTTTGAGAAATGAACTGGTCTTCTTACTGTGCGTGAAACAGCTAGCACGAACGCAATATTGACATTTTTACGCAAGGCCCATGCAGAATTTAGTGTATAAGAACAAATTGATGCCTCGTAAGTTGGTGCCCAATGGAAGCACTCTTTACCGAATTGCTTGTATAAAAATAACAACCTTTCAACCATAAAAACAAAACAATATAACACCACTTTTTTGGGGGGCCACCAAATTTACTGATTCACTCCGTTAGCGTTGATTGTGCAGCGGTATGCGTACATAACGCGACACTGTTAGCGCAAACACGACATCGGCGCTTTTTGCTATTTTCCCCAGCAATGTATCGACTCGCACTAAAATCTACCGCTTAGGTTGGATACTCGCATTAACAGTTTCCTAAACATCGTTCACTTCTAAGAAGAAAAAAAAGTGGGAAACACCGGCGATAGTTTGTTTGTGCTAACTGCGTGGCGTAGGGTACCTAAAAGTTTTTTACAATGTTAAATACAATTCTGTGTCACGTTAAAAAAAATTGTCTGCTTTTGCTTTAGTTCCTTTGAGACACCACAAATACTTCGAAGTGGCGGCCCGTGCTATGGTACCAATACAAGCAACGTTGAACCATAACACGACACGCTAGACTCTCCAAAAAGGGTTTTAATATTGTCTTTTCCGCTCCATAGCCGCACTCGATGAAGAATGTAAACAGCGAGTCTAGCTTACATTTCGTTGTGGGGTACGGACCGTACGGTTATCGAAGTGGCTAAAAGCGACCCACTAAAACTTTCTAAAATTGACATGCACCCTTGATGCCCTCTCACGTCAGGTGGTTGTTGGGAATGTGTAAATAAGAATTTCATACAATTTTGCTGGCCATCATGTTCTGCGAGTTAGGCACACAACAGGGCATTTTAGTAAATCGTTTTCAAAGGCCCGCTGCCACTTCAGGCGCGCGCTTCAGAGAATGCATCAAAGTGGCAGCGCGAGCTCCCGCTAAATATAGCGTGGCCTGAAAACATAGTCTGCTAAAGTTCTCCAATAATTTGTGCTCGCTGCTAGAAAACAGAGACGTTCTATACTTCGTTTCAGCTTCGGTCCGAGCGCGGCCGATGTTATGATTCAAAGGGCCAATCAAACAGCAAAAGAGGCACAACGTCATGGCGTGCTCTCTGCAGTTGATAGGACCAGCCGGTATTCGCCGTCTCTCTGTGCGTGCTCCTCCACCGGCTAGTCCTATCAAGCGCAGAGAGCACGCCATGACGTTGCGCTCTTTAGGCTGTTTGATTGGCCCTTTTGCTCCTAACATCGACCGCGCTCGGACCGAAGCTGAAACGAAGTATAAAAAGGGCCCGCGCCTGGTACATCGTTTTCAGGGGAGGAAGTGGCCGAGTGGGCTAACGCGTCTCAGCTCGGAGCGTGGAACGAAAGCTTGCGCTGGGAACCTCCTGGGTTCGATCCCCGCCGCCCCCGCCCGTTTCGATCGAGATGGGTTTCGTACCGGCACGCGTTTGTGTGATCACTACGGCGTGATGCACGTTAAAAACCCCAGGTTAGCGGTTGTACCGCACTGGCCAAATTTCTCGTCTACAGCTAAGAGACCGATTACCCGTTGAGGCGCATCTCCATCAAGGCTGTATAAACATAAAGAGAAAACCAATTTTTTTTACATCGTTTTCTTTTCCATCGATCCTAGTTTGAGGCAGGTTTGAGCGTGATAAGCTCTTTTTTTTTTTTGACGATGGAATGTTTTGTGAAGATGTAAGTCATACTTACATATTCAAGTCACCACATCTCGCGCATGTGTTTTGAGCTCCTTGATCAACCGAAAATATCTATGAAACGTTCCTTCAATGGGTGTGGTTATGAATCGCAGCTCTCAAGTATGCGTCTACTTTGCCACGGGCTAAACCAAAGACCTTCGACAGCTGAAATTCGGTGATTGCGCGGGCGCAGCCTTGCAGCCCCGTAAAACCTACACCCGAGGGGCTAGGCTTGGTGAGCGCCAAAAATGGGGCAGATTACGCGATAGGAGCTGAAGCTACCTGTAAGTCACGAGGTCGCTGCTGCCGCACCCATCGCCCGTCGCTCAGAATGGGGATTTTCTCGGTTTATCCTCTCAGAAGAAGCCGGCGCAAAAGGGGACCTTTCCCCTCGCCTCGTCGTGCTACAATAAAAGGAAGAAAGAAGGCGAGGAGGACTTTCCGCCAGGCGGAAGAATATTTCTGCTGGTCCTCCTTTAAAAGATCGCAAGAGGCTTAAAAACCGGTCTGAGGCCGGATTCTCAAAGCGAACTTAGACGAAAAAAAGTACGTACGACAAATTTGAGAGAAAATCCGTATTCTCGAAACGAAATTTTCGTAACTTGCGCAGGTTACGACAAAATCCTACGACAGCTCCGAAGCTGTCTTACGCACTTTCTACGATCAAATTAACATGGCCGACAACGTCGCTCAGTCGCTCGTTCGCGACGAGCCAACGGACATTTATTTTTCTACCTGCTCTTCTTGCGCGTCCCGACTTCAAGCAAGAAAAAAAAAAATGAAGAAGTACTTGAAACCGACCACGACGAACATGAACGCTGGATCCACAGACACCCGTTTAAGGCAACAAAGGCGACGATCCCACCGACCGACCAAGCGAGCTCGGCAGAATATATAGGCCTAGCAGGCACTCGGACCCGTTCCGGCGCAGCATTGCTCAGACGGTCCTCGGCCAAGACCGTCTGCCCACGACCGGCTGGCTTGCTGAATGGAATATGCCCGCGCGACCCTTGTGGACCCTCACCGTATGAATAGTTTGATAGCTGAACTAAATTTCAGAGGTCAACCGATTCCCCTTATCATCTCGATCGCCTTGTTTTCCGAGGCAGCGGTGACGAACGCTGTCGTCGAAAAGGGACTCCTCGATTCTATCTCCTTGTTTTGTGTGATATAGAGCTCAAATAA